ATATTTAAAATAAGATGTTTATCCTGTATTTGATTGTGTTTATCTGCAGTTAGTTACACGAATTCAGATATGGGATGAAATCGGATAGGGATGAACGGGTTTAAGAGTTTTTAAGAGTTTAAGAGTTTTTAAGAGTTTAAGAGTTTTAAGAGTTTTTAAGAGTTTTAGCCAAATGCTTTATAATATAGTATAGATATAAGGTTGCGTTTGGTTCACATAATGTTTTTGGATGTAATGGAATCTGTCAAATGAATTTGACTTTGATGTAATTGTAATGGAATGTTGTCAATTTGACCACCTGTTTAGTTGACAAAATTAGAATAGAAACTGTTAAAGAAATTAGAATCTATCAGTTTGGTTCATAAAATATAACTTTTAAATTGGAATAAAATGTTAGTAAATGACCAAAATAACCCTTTTTTTATAATTTTAGTTTTTTAAATACTTTATAAGCAAAACCAAAATAAAATATACAAAATTGTTGCAAAAGCCATGTTGCAGTTACCACTAGCTTTCTAAGCAAAATCAAATGATTGATAAATGTTGATATATGAAGATGTTATAAAATGTAGAACTCCATAAGAACTTGTCGTTAAAAGAATGTAAATATTAACTACAAAGGTGGTACCTGATTGGTTTGAGCTTTGCTTCAAAGGTCAAAATTATCAGGAGGTCCAGATTCAAATCCAAAGAGGAATAAAAATCCTTTTATAGCCACGAAAGTTCAAATGCGGTGACTCCGGACTATCTGTAAAGCAGGTGGTCGCCTTGGGATTAGTCAGCTTGCGGGTTGGATGTCCAAGTTAATAAAAAAAGAATGTAAATATTTGGCATTCAATAATACAAATGAATCCCGCTACCTACGTTAACCGATACCTAAATTAGAAAAACAAATTGGGGACATTATTAGAATGCTATTTAGAAAGCTGTTCCATGTAATCTTTATGTTCATCGAAGGAAGAAGGTGGCAAATTGGAGATGTTAAGCATGACATCAACGCATAGGTTTCCAAGGGTGGCGACATTGAATTCTTTCTTGCCAAAGAATTTGAAGGAAGAAAGACAGCGATGCTCAGAAACAAAAACCTCGACTCTATAACTTTTGCAATTTACTGGCACACGAGTCCTATGGCATATTAAAGCGAGTGTAACAGTTTGTCTCGTCCAATCTCAATTAGTCTACGTACCAAACGCATCCATAAAAAGTATGATCGAAAAAAAAACTAATTTTTTTTATCAACATGGATATCCAACCTGCTATGCGAGCCGACTAATCCCAGGACGACCACCTATTTTGCAGATAGCTCGGAGTCACCGCATTTGAACCTCCGTGGTCACAAAATGATTTATATTTCTCTTTGGATTTGAACCTAGAATCTTCTGGTAAAAAAAAAAAAACTAAATTTTTTTAATCGGAGAGGTTTTTCAATAAAAGAAAAAGAAAAATTTATAAAAACGAAAGCTTCACTTGCTTGCGTTTGAAGTGTCAGTCGGTGTAATATCTGTGTCTCCGCTTCTTCAGTGTTCATCCATCCTTCTATCTCCCGTTTGCAAGCACCAAATCTTCTCTTCCCTTCCATTAGATCTGGTAGTGCATCGGGCCTCCATTTCAGATCTGAGGTCATTCTATTCTTCATCGTACATCAATCTCATCACTGGAGTCTTTACAGATCCATTTCAAGACCAGAGGTGAGTATATCGAAATATCAAATCCTATTTCTTTGTGTTCGATTTCATTTTCGTCGTCTTCTTGGAATTCAAAGTTCCGAAAAACATCATATGATATGCTCCAAGGTTCAAATTTTATCTTGAATTTGTTTATTGTATAGCTGGGAGTAGGGATTTGGGGTTTTTTGTACGATAGAGGGAAATGAAAGAACCCGATTCTACTACAGATCCGATCGGGCAGAACTTGATAAAGCTTATAAGCAATGTCTGTTTCTCAGTATTTGTTTTTACTGTACTTGTAATTACTGTAATCGCCATCACATACCAACCGCCTGATCCATGGGAATCTTCGAGAGCCCTAACTAGGGCTTTTACGAAGGTGGAGAATGCCACCTTCCAGACGGATACCTCAGTTCTCAAAACCGGGGAAGACATTGGGATGGTTGTCGTCCCAGCTGCAGCACCTACTGAGGCTGATCTCGAGGCAAGTGACTCGCAAAACGACCCAGTGATTGATAAATCAGAAGAGAAAAGTACGAATATGAGCTTGAGCTCTGGCACTTGTGATGATTCGAAATTGGTGAATTGTTCTGATCGGGGGGTTTTGATGACCATCAAGAAGTTCAATTTAAAGCGTTTTAAGTCTATAGTGTTTCTAGAATATCAACCACCAGTGAATGGGTCGAATCCGAATGAATGTGATGTGTCATGGAGATTCCGGAATAGGAAAGAGAAGTCTTGGAGGAGGTATAGAGATTTTCGGAGGTTTAAGATTGGATACACTGATAGTTGTACTTACAAAGTGGTATGGGCAAGGGGTTGGCATTCGGGTGTCAATGCCCGCCGTCCTAGGAGTAGATTTAATGGCACTAGAAGCGGTGAGAGACCTAAGATTTCACCATCTTTCCATGATGATGAGATCAACGATACGATCCCAGTGATGGATTCAGATCCAGCTTTTAGGAACGGAAAATATTTGTATTATTCACGAGGAGGGGATTACTGCAAGAATATGAATCATTACATTTGGAGCTTCTTGTGTGCTCTTGGGGAGGCACAGTATTTGAATCGTACATTCGTAATGGATTTGAGTATTTGCTTGGCTGGAGCATATACCTCAAGTAAAAAAGACGAAGAAGGAAAGGATTTTAGGTTCTATTTTGATTTTGAGCATTTGAAAGAGACAGCTCCAATAGTGGAGGAGGAAGAGTTCCTTAAAGATTGGAGAAGATGGGAGAAGAACCACAAAAGGAAAATCCCAGTGAGAAAGGTTCCAACTTATAAAGTCACACCGATGCAATTAAAGAAAGATAAGAGTACAGTCATCTGGCGGCAGTTTGATACCCCCGAGCCAGAGAATTATTGGTACAGGGTTTGCGAAAGTCGGGCGGCAAACTATGTTCAGAGGCCATGGCATGCGCTGTGGAAGTCCAAGAGACTCATGAACATAGTTTCTGAGATCAGTGGGCAAATGGACTGGGATTTTGATGCTGTACATGTGGTTCGAGGAGAAAAGGCGCAAAACAAAGAGATGTGGCCTCATCTTGACGATGATACATCTCCCGATGCCTTGCTTGCAAAGCTTCAGGGTATTATTCAGCCATGGAGGAATCTTTATATTGCCACTAACGAACTGTTCTATAATTACTTTGACAGATTAAGATCTCATTATAAGGTTCATTTGCTCGATGATTATAAGGAATTATGGGGAAATACAAGTGAATGGTACAATGAGACAACCCTTTTAAATGGTGGGCATCCTGTTGAGTTTGATGGATATATGCGGGTTGCGGTAGACACTGAGGTACTTTACAGGGCAAAGACACAAGTCGAGACGTTCTACAATTTGACCAGCGACTGCAAGGATGGTATAAACACATGCTGATCAGGTTAGATTTCCTTATGTTATTCCCTTGGTGGAATCATATGATATCCGTATGTATCTAGTTCCTGAAATTATGACAGCGATATGCTAAGTGGATGCAATCCGGATCTTGTATTAAGAAACTATAGATTTAGGTTATTTATGTAGGTGCAGGTTCAAATGAGAACCGTAAATAGTTTGAGATCCTGGAAACCAACTATTCATACTTTATTCATGATGAATGTCGTCATAGATATTCATGATGAAAAGTATTCATAGGCGAAGGATCGTGTGAGAAGGAGAGCTAAGGTGAGAAGCATAAGAAGGGATCTCGACCCTTGATCACCTTTAATCTCAAATCCACCCATGAATCGTGCTTGATATGGGGATTGATCCGGTGCATCTCATTGTAATGTGCATCTAAGAGTGGAGATCCCTTCTTATGCTTCTCACCTTAACTCTCCTTCTCACCGGAACCCAACCCAGTATTCATAATGAAAATACATGATATTCATAATGTAAATGGATGATGTTCATGATTTGTTAGGGTTATTCATCGTGAATAATACATGAAATAGTTGGTTCTCAAAATATTTATGGTTTTCTGTCATCGTTTTGACACAAGGATGTGCTTATTTTCTTGATTAAAAGCATTTGGAGACTGGATTTGCAAAATCACAAACTAAACACCACCTTATGCAAATGCATGGTTTTCTCGTTTCCCATTTTTACAATTTATCCGAAATCATTCATCCTTGCAATATGCATCGTCTTTTATCGTATTGTCACATCAATAATGGTTTTTTTGCAGAAAAGAAGCAAATGTGATGATGAATGTGTTCACATGTAGTTGGTTTGTGGTACAGGAGGCAATATGGAAGACTTGGATTGATATGAGAACGAAGGTATGATCAAAGGGACATGGGAAAAGCTAAAAGCCACTTGTAAATTTGTTTTCTTTGTTCTTTTTCTGATAGATTTTATGCACAAACATTATGGAAATGAGCAATTTTTGTTTAAAATTGATTTAGTTAAAAAAAATGTGTGGTTGGTTTGTTTGGTTGGTTGGTTTTCCATTAAATCTTATATGAATAAATTTGATTGTATAGATTAGAAAGGTTTTTTGTTTGGGAGGTTTTTCTCATGTATAAAAGGAGTTGTGTTTTTTTAATTGAGAGAGACAAGTTTGGAAAATACTTGGTTTTCTGCAAAAACCTCCCCCGACAGGCTTTCTACATAATCTTCCATTTAAAGCTTACTGAATAAGCTATTACTAAACAATCATATATATATGATCAAATAAGTTGCGAGTCTCATTAATCTTGTTAATCTGCCAGTAAACAAGCAATCTATCAAGTTGGATTATGCCCTATTCTGACTCTTCTTTCATGTCACATCTTCTCAATTCTGTAAAAAAATTGGACCGCTTCATGAACTCATACAAATATGCCACGACATATGCTTTAACCGCAAATTGACCTTTATGAGCTTCTAAAATATCTGTTTTCCATATAGCCATGCACAAAATCCCAAATCAATAATCAAAACGTGCAAAGCTTGCAACCATCAATCAATACTGAATAATCAGATTTAAATATGTTCAAATATATCAACAAGAGTAAAGGCAAATCGATATCTATATCGAACAAATAACTTCAAGGAAACACAAATAACAGGCCAATTTAGAATGGTTCCACAATGTACATCCATTTGGAAGAGATGAAGCTCATATATTGGTGATCAAATGGAGGAAAGATTACAATAATGTTCACCTTTAAGAATATTCCTACAATCACAAGGTAAAACTTTCCACTATAGCTGTCAAAGAATGATCCAACCTGTTAATCCACCTCCATCAAAGGAATATGAGAAAACTGATTAACTAATTAAAGTCAAAACAAATATGGTGTGGATTTCATACGTCTCATAAAACTTACATCTGAGGTTTGTAATAGCTTTGATTTTATGGACCCTGATGAAAATGGTAAGTTATATTGTAAATGGGTCAATCAAACAACCCTTTAATCATTGTATTTGTCATAAAATTAAATAGTTTAATTCTTTTTATTTTATTTAAAATTTTAAAATTAAATGGGTCTACCCAGGTTCAACCAAGTTCTTTAACAGGTTGGGTTGAGAAATATATAAACAGTTAACCTGTTGTCAACCCATTTAGATAACATATTGGGTTGAGTTGAAAACTCTCAACCCATTTAATTCAACATGTTTGGTTGGGCTGGATTGAAATTTTCAACCTGTTTAATAAATGGGTTGAACTCGAACCCAACTCATTACTACCCCTACTCTCCACAATGCACCCAATATTATGTCAAAAATCGCCTAATGAAGTAGTATGAACAAGCATACCTAAAACCCTAGCCAAAATGAGGATTTAAACCCGTCAAAGTGCTTCTTGTGACGTAGTATTTCACACATGCAATAAATTCCACAAAATCCCACGACCTCGAGACCCAATGAGAAGTCTTGCAAAACGGGCATATATACGCGACTGTAAGTTATTATATGCCTATAACACATGTCGCACACAAATACTGTCACAAAATATGTGAATCTATAGGGTCGCACACAAAGAATACGTTTGCCTCCATTTTTAGAAACCCGAAATAAATCATGTTGATTGTTAAATAATTATTCTTGGAGGATAATTATGAAAGATATGAAGTATAATTAGTATAATTTTTATAATTACAGGTCACGACGCAGGCCACGTATTCCTAGGGACCAGATCAACAGTGAGTTATGTGACCACCCAAAATTTGCTCATTTTGACTATTTTCTTGGTTTTTCTCGCAAGGTTTTCTACCAAAACTTAACCATATAAATCCTCACTAAATAATTAGTTTTAAGGCTAAAATCGAATGTTTAAACATAACACGGTGGTAAATAAAATTGTGGGTGTTACAGTTCCCCTAACCTTGAAATTGATAACACCTTGAAATCGCAAACTAAACAAACAGTTAAGGGTAATGCCTTCGCATATCTTATTTCGCTGCCCACATCATGTTAGATCATCGGTGATGCTTCCATTGAACCTTGAACCATTACGATCTCTTTATGACACAACATCTTAAACTTTCTTTTTAGAATCACTTTCAGCTCTTCAACACAACGATTATTATCGTCCACACAAAATCTCCAAGGGGGAATCACACTTTATTTTTTCCATCAAGCACTTACGTACACATGGAAAGTGTTGTGAATCTTGACCATCTCGGGTGGAAACTCCAATTTGTAGGCTTTGAGGTCTCACTCCACTCAATAGTCAAAGATCCAAGTAAACGAAAACTAAGTTTCCCATGCTTCCCAAACCGTATGTACCTTTCGAAGGGGATACCTTCAATATCACTCGGTCAACCACTTGGAATTATATTGGCCTTTTCTTTTTGTCGGAGTGACTATTTTCTCGATCTTGAGCCGCCTTCAAACATTCACGGATACCCTTTACCTTATCGACCGTCTCTTAAACAATCTCGACAATTGGTCGAGTGTATATGATGAGTGTGTAAAAACATACACTTTAAAGCCCAATTAGGACTTTATTTCACTTAATTTTACATCTTTTCCAATCATATATTGAGTCTTTTAGTCTTCTTTTATGGTTTTACATTCAATGGAGCTAAGATGTAGGAAGTGATATTGTTTTATGTATTTGTTGAACAAACTGCTGATTTAAGCATTGCTGCTGTTAGAATAAGAGAAAGAGAGGGCCAAAAGATTGCCGTTTGTATTGAATGAATATTATTGAACATTACATCAAAAGGAGAAAACCTAAACTACTTATATAGGATAGTACAGAGGGCCTAAACCCTAAACCTAAAAGCCCACGGGCTTATATATATATAGGCTTCTTATATACAACTAACACCCCCTCTTAAACTTAACCAGGGGAAGAATGACCCAGGTTGAGTTTGGAAACAAGTTCCCGAAACCGTCCTGGAAGGTGAGCTTTGGTAAAAATATCAGCCAGCTGGTCAATCGTAGAGATAGACTGAAGTTGAATTGTCTTGCACGCAACATGTTGACGGACAAAGTGACAGTCAATCTCTATATGTTTGGTACGCTCATGAAAGACATCGTTGTGAGCGATCTGAATAGCACTGGTGTTGTCGCACCATAGCACAGTAGGTGAGAGTTGAGGAGCACCCATGTCGGAGAGTAGCCATCGGAGCCAGATGAGCTCTTGAGAGGTATCTGCAAGGGCTCGGTACTCAGCTTCAGTGCTAGAACAAGCAGTAAGAGACTGCTTCTTGCTGCGCCAGGAAATCAGAGAATTACCAAGAAAGAAGCAGAACCCTGTAGTAGAACGACGATCAGTCATATCGCTATCCCAATCAGCATCAGAAAACCCACGTAAAACCAATGAGGACGTGGAGGAGAAAAACAGACCATGAA